CAACGAAGGACCTCCTTCACAAGGGCATCCACGTAGGGCAGATATTGACGGTCCTCAAAAGTGGGAAGACGGTCGTTTCCGACTACTGAGTCAATTTCCGCCTGAGCTTTTCTCATGACGTCAGGATTCAAGGCCATGGCAAGAAAAAACGGATAGATGGCAGATACAGTCTAGAAAGAGATTTATAGAATGCGATTGTTGGATAAATAAAGGTACTTACAGTATCTGCGCCGCCTTGTTGGTATGTACCGCGTCAGAAAGTAAGTAAAATTTGACTTTTCAAAGTAGCACACCTGAATACAGACTGGCTGCGCACCACTTGATTTCAAAATCCTCTTCAGGAAGAATCTCTTTGCCTTCCAAGAGGCTGGACGTAAACGAGACCGGTGCTACACCAGTAGCCTACGGAGAGGTTAGATGAGGAATACGAGACGAACCACATAGTACTATACCATTGAACGCTTCACGAAATCGTGAGGATATTCTACCATGTCAACCAAGGTAGAGGCCCATTCCTTTGCCGTCCTCTTAAAGCCGGCTCCTGGAAACCAAGAAGGAACGAAGCGCACTGTGACCGATCAGAGTCGACGTGGCTTGGGATACGAAAGGGTTCGACTTACATATTGGTAGGACGTCGACTAGCCAGGCGCCAGGCATCACGACACGAGAGATCTGGTCCGTAGCCTTGTCGGCAAGTTCCACAAAAGGATCATTTTTCTCTTGGACCTCATAGCCGTGCGAGATGTGGAGGATGATAGCTCCTGCTGTGCTGAAACGAATATGTTGGAATCGGAGTTACGAGGAAAGAGATAGCTGCTCACTGCCGAACATGATCGGCAAGGCCAACCGGGTTTTTTAGGACGCGCTGAAGGAACTTGTGCGTCTGAAGTTCCTCAATGTGGGAGAACTGTTGGACAGAAGCACGGCTTCCCATTATACCATGGAACCAACGGCGGAAGCGACGGAAGCGATCTCCATAGGGCAAAAGAATAAGAGTATTTTTCCAACCAACGAGGTTTCCTGCCATTTGCAAGATCGGTCGATCAGAGTAGATAGGACCCTTCTTGTCAAGCATCTCATTGGCGATTTTGGCCGAATTGAGAATAACTAGAGTTTGACCAAAGATCCTGACCGAGCATATCTCCCCTACAGGTGCAAGCAAAATTGATCACAGCGAATTCGATTAAAATAGGATTGAACTCACCGTATTTTTTCCCCCATTTTGTGAACGTCTCCCATTCACGTTTGGAAGGGATATCGAAGACGTTCCCTATTACAGGATAACCCTTTGGACCGGGCGGGAACGGACCTCGTTGCGTATGATAGAAGAACCAGCTCATGATAATTACACCAAGAGAGACGGAGAAGACGTCGACAGTGTTGATGTCGACCATCACGTTAGTAAGATAGTAAGTATGTCTGGGTAAAATGATTTGAGGAGATGAATGTATTGAATGGGTGCAGCCACTTGATCATTATATAGAGAATACTTACATAAAACCCCAAGACACTGTGTTTACATCAGGCACAGAGTATATTCCTTCCATGACCGTGATATTCACGGCGGCACAACGATGACACTTTCCTCGTCAGCACACCTTGACACCATTGATTGATTGATATATCAAAGTACGCCAGGCCAGTAAGCCTGGATTATGAGTACCAAAACTCACTGACTGCCAATAAATGTTGACTGCTGAGCGGTTTTAACTTCGAATAAACGGCTAAATTCTTTAAGGGCACAGAGCCATGGTCCGGGCATGTGATGGAATACCAGGGTTTCCATCCACGACGATCAATACCCGCAGTAGTCTCCTAAAACAGACCTTGACGACATCAGATGAGAATTGTTCTGATATATATCCCCACAGTAATGTTGAGTGTGTACTAGTGATGTGAAGTGATGTGCACCGGTTAAAGTCGTTTCAAGAATAAAATCGGAGATTGGAAAAATCAAGGGTTTGTTTTTCAGAGTCAAGATTCCACCAAGCCGCTCTGCTCTGTCAAAGACCCAATATGACCCTTCAGATTGATGATTGAAAATACATTGTCATCGTACATTTTGTGCAAGGGGTTTTCCAGACATGGAACCCAAAATTAAATGGTCGTGGTCTTAATCATTCGCTATGATACCCTTCGATTCTGATGAGAAAGGCAGTCTTCCCCGAAGATTCGATGCAACATTTGGAAGGTTTCAGATGACTGTCAAGCGAGTTTGTTATTTCCATCTCAATGGCGCCACAGCGAGAAATCCGCAGACCTTATAACTCCTTCTGTATTCTCATGCGCAGGTTCGACCACGCCGTTCTCAACGAGATGTCGAATACCGCCAAGGACATCACGCACGAGATAGATAACGATGCGTCAACAAGATGTAATTCTGTTGTATGTACTTGCGATCAGCAAATGATGGATCAGAACCTTAGGCCGGACCTTGCCGGACGGTAAGTATCTGGACACACCACGACCGAGTTTAACAAATCAGACGTCGAGAAGAAGTCGAGTACCTTCTCCCAAACCCAAAGCAGATGTTCTCAGGGTCCGTCTCAGCTGGCTTACTTGTGGTTGCAATCAAACGCTCCGGATTGAATTTGCTAGGGTCCGGATACACTTTAGGATCGTGCAAGAGTCCGCTGGTGTTTGATTGAGCATTCCTTCACCGTCCTCTTTAAGTCGGCTCTTGGAACCCAAGAAGGCACAAAGCGCATTATCGAAGGCTGAGGTCAAAGGAGGTTTGCGTGCATGTCACAAGGCTAATCTAAATCCTTAAGTTCAAGAGTGGTGTCTACACAAACACAATCCATCGCATCACGGCTGTTTTCTCACCTTTCCTCCCGAAGTGCATGCTCCCTTATACCTACAGCCCCATCTGAACCTGCAACGCAAGCCGCGCCATTTCCGCCTTCGACCCTGCCCTGCCCTCCGCCAATTCCAAGACCGAACACCTTCCCGAGACTGGTCCTCAAAGAGTCGTACACGGCCTGATGCGGGGCAGGGTATATAGAGTCGATAATGTGTTTATGAATGAGTCCTGAAAGCGGGGAGAACGTGTATGTCGAGGTGCTGTGCAAGAGTGCTTATTTAGCTTCGGGACAGAAGATATGACTTAGAATTCACATTTCCCATTCCCCCGGCGCACCGCTCACTCTAGATGTCCCCGTAACACAGAACCCCACAACAAAACTTTTTTCCCTCCCCCTCTTGACCGTTGAGTTGGGATTTTGGTCCTGCGCAGGCCATGGTGTGGATGTAGGTGTAGACAAGCGCGGGGTATTCACTACGCATTTTTTGAGTTCAAGTTTGAGATCTACATATAAAGCGTTGAGGGTGTGTCGGATGAACACTGAAGATGCGAGGTACAACGGCAACCCTACAAGTCACTTCAGTTTCCACCCTCCAATCGCGAGCAAACATACCAAAAACGCACCTTCAACATGCAAGGTCGAAGGGAACGGCGGGGGCAGCGCGATTGGAGGCGTGTAAGACAGCCCAACTTTTGGGCTATATATCCCCTCGATGTCATCGTCCCCATAGACCTGATAATCCAACGGATTTGCATTAATGATCGGGATAGAAGTAGCGGAAGACCTGGGGGTGCCTGTTGCTTTATCTATGGAAGTTACTAGGCCCGTAAGAAAGAATTCCGGAAGAGTCTGTTGGAGGACGTAAATAGCGCGTCCTTTACAAGTGAGGATGCACGATACACACAGTACACGAGGATGGACATACCTGTGCGTATTTCCCAGTCCTGGTCGGATAACTCTGGAGATTCAGAACGGGGCTTTGAACTCGAGTCAGGAGGTTTATTTGAGCGTAGACCAAGGTCGGAGAAGGGGTCATGGGCGTGAGCGTGTTTTGGTTGTGGAACGCAAAGTGGAATTGAGCGGTGATACAAACGCAGACGCTGTGCAAAAGACTTGAAGACGGGGAATCTACATGCCGTCTGCATCGACGCTCCTCTTCGTCGTCGTCGTCGTCGGGGTCAAGCAAGATTTGCACGTGGATGCATGATGTCAGACATTTTGAGAATTCCTGGGAATTTGATATATTGCATGCGACAAATCTATATGGTCAAGCGAATTCAAGCTTTAGGTGCGTTCAAGGCTTTTCTCAGTGGCCCAAAGCCTCGCTTCAGGTTAACGTACTTTTGTCCAGTGTACGACCCAAGAAATACACGAACTCCATTGTAGAACGTTTTCCGCTCTCCCTCCATCATGATGTTATCCTCATGAGCCTTCTTCTATCCAACCGCATCAACCATTGGAGGTGCTTGGCTCTTCTGAAAAAGGACATGTCTGCACCCTACGCTGTTCCCCTGTCGACCAAGGAAAAGATGACTTTTGAGAAGCCGCCTGTGATAGGAAGCTGGCCTCGAAGGAAAGCGTAAAAGCAAAGGACGCGATTTAGGTCCGACGTGAATGTTGCGCTTGAGATGCCAAATGTGAGTTTGTTGGATCATCCGTGCCCTCGAACGTGGAATCACGGGATCTTTTTCACGTTCTTCGTGTCTTTCATAGATGTGCATTCTACATATCCTCTAACAATGGCTGCCCAAACAGCAGTCTTGGCGTGGATGTGATAATATGACTCAGGACGACACAACATCTTACGAAACTGGTGCTTGCACATACCCAAGAAGGGTGCGTCGAAATGATGAGGTTCACTTACCGTTCGTAGATAATCAAAGTAACTTTACTCAACTCTATGTAAATTGCTACCCTCTGTCGGTACACTTGATGTGCAATGTCTTAGTCTACGTCGATATCGCAGTTAAGATAACTTTTTCCGATATGTATATACCCTGCCTGCTACCTTCTTCACAAGGGTCGATGGCGTAGTTGGTTATCGCATCTGTCTTACAGTATAAATTGTACTTCACAGAAGGTCCTCAGTTCGAGCCTGGGTCGACTCATGTTTTTCTTGATTCTTGCATGATATGAATTTGTGGTAGACACAACTTTGGTGGTAGTTTCCGTACCTATTGTTATCTTTCAGAGGTCATTTATCTGCTCCATGTCACGCTGATGTCACCCTTAGTATCTAGTCTTTCTCAGTTCCCTTCCCCTCTTACTCTTTCTGTTTTCGTGCTCGTGCTCCTCCTTGTTTAACTTGCTCCCTGCGTTTTCATATAATGGTAATACAGTGGTTCTACTGCTGTCTGGTATTGGCCATCAATTTCGAGCAAGTTTCATCATCTTTGACAATGTTTGAAACTCCTCAGACACCGTACCAACATTTTATTCAACTCCTCAACGCTTCCCACCCCGCTCCCTGCCACCACTGCACACCTACAGCTCACACGCCACCCTCATACACGCCACCACCTCTCTCAATCCTCAAACTTGGAATCTTCAAATCACCCTCATCCTCTCCAAGCGCCCATAAGCTCACCCCAATCACATTCTCTCCTTCATAGTTCAGGATTCCCTGATGTACCACGAATGAAGTTTGAGGACCAATGTTTGCTACGCGTTTCCCCATTTGCCAGCCATTGATGTATAGTTGCGCTGAGATGTGAGAGGTTAAGACTCGCCGGGTGAGTAAAAAAATGACAAAATCACGCACCTCGATAATGTCCTGGCATATCTTCAAACACGATTGAAAGAGGGACATCGTGGTTTCCTGGTAGGTTAAGGTTGAAAGTTGTGCGGAAGAATCCAACCTTAATGCAGCATATTTACAAGCTGGTCGAATGTCCTTCGAGTGAATCACATACCCCTGGTTTATCAAGCCCTTGGAACGGAGTCCTCAGTTCCCATTCGGAATCGTCAAACCCAGGAAGATGCCATCCCTTTCTCTGTGCAAAGTGCTCAACTTACCGAAGACTGAAACAACAGCGCATCTCAACATACCTCAGCGTACAGTCCACCTAATGCACAAAGCATCAAAGCGTCAGCCATCGACATCACAACTCGATCCAATATGCCAATGTACCTTCATTCAGGATTTTCCGCGTCTTATCTGGAAAATCCTCCCCTCCAAGGTTCCCGGCCAGCTCCCACCTCGTGAACTGCTTATCTTCAGGTCTACCCACGAGATAGTACCCCTGCAACCAGAATTTGTACGCCTCGCACAAGATCCCTAGATAACAAAGCACCGCACCTGCAAGCCTCGAGGCTGCTGCAAATCCCTCTGTCTTCCACCAGGTGTACAGCAAACAATCTGGCCAGCGAGATTTCCGCCCATATGGCTTGACACCAACTAGTATCAGCACCTTAGCCTATCCAATACGAACAACACAACCCACTCCTGCAAGACGGTAACATGATTGTCACCGTCCACAAGCATGTCCTTCGTCACGGGCCACGACTCATTATTAGTAGCAAGTAGCGTATCAGACGATCCCAAGAAATGTTCATTGAGCCACGCCGACGCTGCAAAGTGTATACCGCCAGATACGCTGATGTTCACTGCCGTGGGTAGGGGGAGAGAATCATTGTGCTGGAATGTCCCGCGCCACAGGAGGTTACCAGCCTACATAGGCCCAGGATTAATAACCATAATCCGTATTCAGGTTGACAAGAAAGCGCTCTTACATGGAACCCATAATCATCTGCATACAAGATCCACGGGCCTCCGTAATATGGCGGGAACGTATTTGTCGTCTCAGTGTGATCCGCAATGACAAGACTCTCATCCTCAAACCCAGCCCCAATCTCAGGTAACGAATCCTTATACCTCCACTGCGCCTTCATCAAGTCCGGAATCTCAATGCTCGCACCACTAGTCCCAATCTCCGCCTGCCATGTACCCCCAGCCACCTTCACCGGTTCCAGCTTTCTCCCATTCCATGTAATCGAGCCGAGAGTGCTGGGTCCATAAACTGTCAAGACTGTGCTCCCCTCTGCATTCAAGTCGCCCGTCAATGCAAGGCCGTCACTTGATAATGTAGCCGTCCTAACAAGGTATGGCCCTCTCACAAGGAAAGGCGCAGAGGCCTCAACGTCCACATATTCGGCGAGCTCACCGTCCCCAGCAATTGTAGGCATCCAGAGATTAGTTGCAGTGTCGTAGTCCGCGATGAGGAGAACAACGGTTTTCTGGGGAGTTTCGAGTTCGACGGTTGTGATACCTTTAGCTACAACGAAATTGACTATGAAGGAGTTCTCGTTCTGAGGTGATTCAGCAGATTTTCAAGCACGAGGAATGCAGCGATACATACATCGGAGTACATGGAAGTTATTCTGGTCGTGCCAGAAGTGACAACGGTTGGTGCTTGCTCTAGCTGAAGAGAGACCTCGTACACCAAGTCTACATTACCATACACAACAAGGGCATCATTTCCATCCAACTGGAACGTCGACAGAAGCATTGCAGTTGAGTAGAGCAGCTTCGACGATCCAAAATTCAAATCAGTGCTGATCACAAAAGAATCACGACCAAGCAGAACTTGAGCTCGCCAAACTTGGCGGAAAGCTCTCTGTTTTCTGCTACGGCTGCACCGTAATCCTACAAAGTAGGATAAGTGAGAAGACAATCATCCTATCGACTCAAGTGTTACGTAGGACGTGTAAGCGTCTGGAATTATCGATTAGTTTGACGATTTGATCCCCTGACTGTCACCCACTCGTATACGGAAGCTGCGCCCATGAGGTGCCACCCTAAACACTAGTCAGATTCCGTGTCAGCACTCTCTCCCTTTTCGTAGCTCACATAGAACATATAAAAGTTGACCTATACCACTAGTTATCAAACATGTCAGACTATTAGAAAGGCATTTATTGACTCACCGCAGTCACACCATTAGCCCATAAAGCGAAATAGTGAACACGTTGAAAACTAAAGAAACGTTTGCATCACATCTAAACGACTTGAAATGACCGACTTTGGGTCAGTTAGCTCCCGACATGCGGCATAGCCAGCCTTGGAGCCCCATGGATCATAGGAACCACCTTGAAACCTATGTATCAAATACAGTCACATTCGATTACAGGCACCAAAGACAAGAAGTGTTAACTCAGGAAAGATGAAGGGTATCTCTGGAGTAACAGATTCGTGATATGACCTCCAGGTTGTCGGTATATCTCTCCATACTGTGGGATCTGCACAGTTGAAGGCTGGGAATGGTTATTGAGCTTGAGCCAGAGCCATTTGTTTTTGGTCAAAATCTACTCACTGACTGGATAAGCATCGATACCATAGATGTCTACGGAATCTACCAAGTTCCTGAATTCGCCAGCATCGTTCACCATAGTAGGCACCACCTAAGTCAACGTATATTTTCGTGAAAGACGATAATCGCAAACACCCACTATGCCTAGATCCAAAGCTCTCTGACGAAGCTGCGCGACATATTCATTTTGACCAGCTGGTGTGATCATGGGCCAATTAGTTCGACGCAGTCATCACCTTTTCGAAAGTTTGCACCTACGCCCATTATAGTACTCGTTCTCGATCTGGACCATAATGACAGGACCGCCGTTCGTGATTTGGTTCCTCGCAATTACTGGAATGAGGGCATTCCACTACAGCCAACCAAAGTCAAGGTCATACGTTTTATCCAGTCAAAATACCCACATAATCTTGCCAAGCATCGTGGTAGAACGTGTCGTTACTTCGTATCTCTCCGTTGTAGGGATTCCAAATCGGATCTCCAGGAATCGTCGCGACATGTCCGGGAAGGCCACCAGTTGTGGTTTCCGCACTGAGATCGCGTGTCTTTCAGAAGATTTCTCCCCAGACACTTGAGAAGAGAATCTCACTTGATGTAAGGTCCAGGCCGTGCGATAACGAACAGGCCAGCCTCCTTAGCAGCGTCAAACAGCGGCTGCAAGTCATTTATGCCCGTCATATCCACGACTCCCTTTTTGGGGTTGAGAAGGTGCCAATGAACATAAATAGAGAGCGCATTAAGGCCAGCGGCCTTAGCCTTTTGGGCAATATCTTTCCAGAGAGCGGGAACAGGAAGTCGCCAAGTATGGAATTCGCCTGATTGTAAGAAAATACGGTTTCCGTTGACATAGAATGAGTAGGAATCCCATCCTACCAAGTTTGTCAATCCAGTCGAGTTGATGAAGGTATCATTTGAACTCAAAAGTGTCTAACTCCAGACCAAAGCCATCGTACAACGTCTCACCTCCAACTTTATCCCTTCCAACGATCTTTCACCAGGCCCTTATCATCCATCCCTCAAAGGCCTTTATTCACATTTTGCCACTGTCCTATGCGACGTCTGTCACCCCTTCATCCACGATCCCCTCGAAATTGAGTACATCGCAGCTGCTCGATGGCCAGGCTTCGCGCAGCCCGTTCTCGACGAACACCAACGTTTGATAGAGGAAGAAATGGACCTCGACGATGCAGAGGAACCACAACTCCAGCCACCATCAGAAGACGTCCGCATGCGACTCAGTCGGCTCTTCAACCCGTCCTTAAGTGCCGCCCTCGAAGAACTCTACCCCCGTCTCACCAACGCGACTGATTGGGCCGCCAAAAACAAGCCAGAGCCCGATCTACTTTCGGCCTCCCAGCCAGGCCAAGTTGCGAGAGGCAAGGAACAGCCTGGAAAAGGCAGTGAAACCACTACCTTGACCCTACCACGTATGTCAAAGTTCATTCTGGTAGCTGCGTTCCTGGCGTCGACGAACCCCGCCAAATCGGACATACGGATGTTCGGGCGAGGTTTAGACGAGAAGAAACGCAAGCGGCGTGCGAGAAAGATGACGAAGAGTGGTCCAACAAAGGTGAGAATCCGTGCTTCGTGGACACCCGAATTCCTTTCTTATCTTCTTCGTTTTCAGATCCCCCAGAGACTCCTTGGTCCTGTGGCCTTCCCACTCGACAGGCTTCTAGCAATCCTCGGTGCGCTGTTGGAGGAGAACGACGTTGAAACCCGGCTCCCGGCTCCCGAGTTCACCATTCCTGGTGAATATACCGACATGGAGATCAGTAGGGTCGCGGTCTACTCGGCAG